TATATATATATATATATAAACGTACGTACTACTTTTAAAATTTCAAAAAAACCTTTCAATACATTCACTTGATAATGATATATCATTTTTTTGCTGTTGTCCCACACACAACCACCAAAGTAACTAGAACACAATGAAGATCAAAAATATAAAACTCTTCAATTATTAAAATAGTATTAATAACGCTATATACACCGGTATATATTCCTTTGATTGATACATATTTTATAATTTATTATATTGAATCAGACATTATATTTTTTTCAACCGCATCATAATTATATGAGTATGAGTTAATCACTTATATACTGTTAGTGAAATTTTTTTATATTGATAATTAATTATATCTTTTAATAGTATTATGTCATTATTTAATAAAATAAAAATAAAATAAAATAATTTAAAAAATATAATTAATTATCAATGTAAATTTTTTTACAATAAAAATGTATGAATGATTCTATTAGTATTACCTACTTTATATAGAAGGGTATGTGCACATGCTGCCAAGTGCACTTTAAAAAGCAATATTCAATAATCGACCACGGTGGACCGCATCCGTTTCAGGTACAGGCCGCCAAAATAAGAGATCGACTATATAAGAAGCTTTTAAGAAGTGACCATATAAAATGTGGCGAAATTAATGACTAGGGGTACCCACTGTTCATGATGTGCATATACATAAGTATCAGAAATTTTGGTAAATGAGTATTCATCACCGTCGATTTATTTTTCTTACCAAAATAAACTTTAAAAATAAATAAATAAATAACCTTTTGTATAAACACTTTCTTTTAATTTTAAGCAAATTGTTCAAATATTAGGAAAATTTTGGTTGATGCTTATAGCTACAAATTAAGTAGCAGAAAACACGATGTGAAATGGTCCTCCAACCAATCCAATATATTTTATCCAGTCCAGCTATTTGATTTTGCGATTACAACTTATTTATCATTGTTCTTTATGTTTTTAGATGTTTACAACAATTATTTATATAAAAAAATATTAAAAATCTAAATCTTACATTGATTAAAAATAAAATAAATATTTTATAGTGAAGTACAACATCATCTTACAAATACTGATTTTATAAATTGAATTAGATTCTTCAACTATATTTTAAGATGGTATAAGAATTATACTAAATATGAAAAAGAAAAAATCCTCACCTCGATAGAAATGATCAGATCAAGAATAAAATTTTATCATTAATGACCAAATATTTTCAACATAAAAACTATCATGAAAAATTCTTATATTAATGGGCTCACGAGGCCCATTAATAAGTAAATATAAAATCTCGAACCCTAGAGCAATATAAAATCTCGAACCCTAGAGCGAAGACGACACATTACACACTTGAATACTCTGACTTTGAAAACTCACTTAAAAAGAATCCTAGACGTCTTTTAGGTTGGAACAGATTAAAAATAAAATAAATAAATATTTTATAATGAAGTACAACATCATCTTATAAATACCAATTTTATAAAATTGAATTAAATTCTTCAACTATATTTTAAGATGGTATGAAAATTATATTAAATATGCAAAAAAAAATCATAATCCTCACCTTAAAGTCAATTTTATCTTAAAGTTGATTTTGTAATGGAGTTAAATCTATAATTCATAATCTAAGAGCTAATTCTATAGGAATAGTGTAGCATAGAAAATTCCTTAGGAATTCAATTAAAGAACGAAGTATTTTTTTTCAAACAATAAGACTAGGATTAAATTTGTGAATTATAATTAAATGAACGTATTTATTAATTTAATGAGTCAGGTTGCATTGAAGATATGAGTAGCAAGTAAGAAAAAAAAATGTTAGATAAATGTAAACACACGGGGGACATGATACAGTATGATGTAAGATCCGCAACAATATGTTGTTGAGTCATTGTGTGTGTGCAAAAAGTCTTGGATGAATTTGTTGCGAGAATAACGCGGCTTCACAGACCACACATTGTTTGACGGTATAGATCGATGTTTCTGGGAAGCAGCAAACATTACGATAAACACTAAACAGTGTGAATCCTCACTCCTATATAAACCCCACGCTGCTCTCACCAACACCTTGGCACTCTCAAAAAAAGAAAAAGAAAATTCATTATTCTCTCCAAGCTAGTTTCTCTTTGTAGCGTTCATTACTGAAGCATGGAGAATTTTGGTGAGGAGTACAAAAATTACTGGGAGAACATGTTTTTCCCAAGCGAAGACCTTGACGGGTAGGTAATCAGAGGAAAAAGTAGTTAAGTAATGGGGCGTTGTTGTTTGTTGTGTATGTGTATGAGTATGAGTATGAGTATGAGGTAGATTAATGTTAGACATAAATAATGAATTAATTTTGGTGATGGCACATGCAGTTGGGCAATGGATCATGAGGGCTTCTCCGGGTACTATGATTCAAGTTCCCCGGACGGTGGGGCTTCATCGGCGGCAGCTAAGAACATTGTGTCGGAGAGGAATAGGAGGAAGAAGCTGGACGAAAGGCTTTATGCACTTAGAGCTGTGGTCCCCAACATTAGCAAGGTTCATTTTGTTTTCTTATAATAAAAGGTTGGAAACAAGCACACGCGTATTCTGTGCATTCATTCATTCTGCTTAGTTGTACGCAGTTGGATAAGGCTTCTATCATTAAGGACGCTATAGAGTACATCCACCACTTGCATGAGGAAGAGAAGAGAATCCAAGCCGAGATTTTGGATCTTCAGTCTCAGAACCTCAAAAACCCAACCTACGACTTTCAGCAGTACCTCCCAATTTTGCTCAGGTCT